AATCATTAAAAACTTGCAAAATGTAAAACGACTTACATTTTGGGATATACGAACACTCACATCTACCAATGGTTTCTTGTTTTCTTGTTTTCCCCCAAGGTGAAAATAATGTGTGTATCTCCAAAAACTTGGAGTTTCAGGCTCTGCACTTTCCCTCCTCACCTCATATCTGAAAGACCGTACCTACAGGGTGACTTGGAGAGGGTCTGAGTCCCACCCTTGTCAATTAACTACAGGGGTCCCTCGGGGCTCTGTTCTTGGTCCCCTCCTCTTCTCCCTGTACACAAACTCGCTCGGATCAGTCATTAGCCCGCATGGTTTTTCATACCACTGCTACGCTGACGACACCCAATTAATTCTGTCCTTTCCCCGCTCAGAGACCCAGGTCGTCGCACGCATCTCTGCTTGTCTAGCTGACATCTCTCAGTGGATGTCTGCTCATCACCTCAAGCTCAACCTTGACAAGACTGAGCTGCTCTTCCTTCCGGGAAAAGATTGTCCCACTCTTGACCTAACAATCAACATCGGCACCTCAGTTGTTTCCCCGACTCAGACTGCAAGGAATCTGGGTGTGACCCTAGATTACAACCTGTCCTTCACTGCAAACATAGCTGCCACAACCCGTTGCTGCAGATACACGCTTTACAACATCAGGAAGATACGTCCCCAGCTGACACAGAAAGCGACGCAGTTTCTGGTCCAGGCTCTCGTCATCTCACGCCTAGACTACTGCAACTCCCTCCTGGCTGGTCTACCTGCATGTGCCATCCGACCTCTGCAGCTCATCCAGAATGCAGCGGCTCGTCTGGTCTTCAACCTTCCTACATTTTCCCACACCACTCCGCTCCTCCGCTCCCTTCACTGGCTTCCGGTAACTGCTAGAATCCACTTCAAGACACTGGTACTTGCTTACCATGCTGCGAATGGATCTGGCCCTTCGTACATCCAGGACATGGTTAAACCGTACACCCCAGCGCGTGCACTACGCTCTGCATCAGCCAAACGACTCGCTGCGTCCTCGCTGCGAGGGGGACCCAAGTTCCCATCAGCAAAAACACGTGGGTTTGCTATCCTGGCACCAAGATGGTGGAATGAGCTCCCCATTGAAATCAGGACAGCTGATAGCTTGCACATCTTCTGGCGCAGACTGAAAACTCATCTCTTTCGACTCCACTTCAAGCGATATAACTATTAACAAAGCACTTATATACTAATAAAGGACTGGCTTATCAGTTGAGTAGCACTTGAAATGTTTTGGCTCTATGAAACCTGATGTACTTATATGATTCTGTTTTCTTCAAGGTTGTGTCTTCCTGGTCGAATGTACGCTTTGGATAAAAGCGTCAGCTAAATGCAATGTAATGTAATGTAATATTTAGCCAGTTATTTAGGTCGGTTACAAAATGTTATTGATAGTTCCTTGGCCCATGCTTCACCCTTTTACCCATTTCAGTCAGTGTGTCTTTGATATGTTCATTAGAAGCAGCATATAGTAAGAGATTGGCGTCTAGCCTCGGGCATCATCACTCCACAGATTTACATCGAACATTGAGTGATGATTAAATAACTATTCCCCCGAGCATACAGGTGGATGCTGGAGTGGAAGCTGGGGTGGTGGTGCAGGCGAGCAGCAGCAACATGGAAGCAGCAGCAGCAGCAGCATAGCGAAGCAGAGGCAGCAGACCTGGCAGCTTAAATAGAGCGGCAAGTTTAGGAGAATGGGCTTGGTTGGTTGTAAGAGGGACGAGGCGCGTCACGTGTAAATGTATCATTGGTTCTTGGGTTGACTGCCTGAACTAGCTCGCAGGGTTCTGGTTCTAGCCATTTCATGAAAATTGTCCCAAGTGACGAATCACTGAAAAAAAAATTAAGGGGAGGATTTGCCTGGAAAGTTGGTTGGGGTTTAGTGTTTGCTTGCCGTGTATACATGTCTATGGAAGATCATTGTTCCCAAGATCCATCTTTTGTTTTGTCCCTACTGTGACAAACTACAAACTGTGTTAACTACTGTGGATGGGTTTTACTCTCACGGAACATTGCTTTCAGTTGCAGCACATAAATCGGTAGGGAGCAAAAACAGAGCTAATGAGAAGAGTGAAGTGAATATTGGAACTATGTGCCAGGTGGTCAGAAACTCAACTCCAAATGAGTGATAGTGTTGCTTTGGATCTAAGATGCAAAAGTTAGCAAACATGTTTACCATACTACCTTGTGAAGGGATGATATGCAAATTATTGCATGTGTATAAACAATAATATGACAATAAGAGTTATCACAACATTGGTATTTTGTGCCATGTTGTGGACATAGCAGCTGGTCTAACTCAGTCAGCATGGAGTCTGGTTGCATCCAGTTGTGTGGACTATGTTGCGTAAACCAGTCAGCTCAGGGACAAGCGTGTGTGTTTACTGTCAGCAGAGAGGCAGGTGGAGCTCAGACTCTGCTGTATGTAAACATAATTTACATCGCTGTGACCGTGAGATCTTGCTGATAATCCTCACAGTCATTTAATGAGGTGACTAGCTTTCAGAAAGACTCTCTCCATGCGTTACCATTTGTGATCCGGCCATCTTAGACAAAGAAATGGCTGAGCCGTTACAAGAGCCATAATCACTCAACAACACTGCCACTATTTAATGATTTATAAGATGTGGAGTCAGGGATTTCTGCCTGCGCTGACTGACAGCTTTGCAGATAAAGAAAGAGGTTCGGTCCCATGTTAAACATATGCTGATAAATTATGAAGTAGGAAAGTAAATCTACTGTAGGAGCAGATGTGTGTCCCTGGGTTCATGGAGAGAAACTGCAGGTTTTTTTCTTACCCACATCCTGAAATCGATCTGTGCTAGAAATCCCATCTGAGCAGGTGCACAGAGATAAACACGAGAAGGCAAGGCCACCTCAGATTTGCCACCAAGCCAAAACAGTCAACGAAAGGCCACAGGCAGTTGCCAGGCAACACTATCCCTATCACAGCAGGAAGTGGAGTCGAACATTAATCACTTTCAGCACCATCTCACGAGAGTCAGCGCTACAGTGCTCTGGTCACACAGAGGTTTCTCTGTGTTCGGGCACACTGGTTTATACCTCCATTACAAGATTTTCTAGCAGGAATGAGATGTCTTTAGGAAGAAATTAAAGGAAAAACTGCATTTCTGAGAAATATTATTACATCAGTCCATTCGTGTCTCTCTTTATGTGTCAACTGTGTAAACACTTTGTTTTGCAGGGAGATAAGTTAAATCTGTTTCCAATAATTTATGGTGTGCTTGGAGAATTTATTTGGCAATACATTTTCTTAAAAAACAAAGCATGAGGGATGTCTGCCTGAATTTCAGTCTGCTTCAAATATGTTTGTATTACCTGCCAAAGCACAGCTTTTCAAGGCAAGTCCAGCTCCAACAGAGTTTCTGAAATCACATCTACCCTGCCATGCTCGTCTGCCTCACAAGGGCGGGGATCCAATCTTGCACCAAGACAGAAATCCTGATAACAATGTCTGCAAAACAGCTGAAATGCAAGTCGTATTAAAAGCACAGCAAGGAAAAGAGGTCAGTTGATATTATGTAGTCTGCTTTCCTCTACTGCTGACTCCGCTCTTAGTCAAACTACTTTAATTCAAAGCAAAATGTTTGTCGCAGATGAAAATGACAGAATGAATGGACTTCAAGGCTGACCGATAGTGCTGATCACCTGGTCTGTCATCCTGATATTTAGAAGAGAATATATTTCATATGACATTAAAATATTCTGTGTCCCATGTTAATATTCATTTATAAAATGATTTCTGGTGGCATTTTGAGTAGGCGGCCACATTGGTGTAGCAGCTTATTGGCACATACTCAGGCTCTTAAAGCTTTGCCAGGCTAGCTGCAGCAGATCTATGAATTCAGGAAAACCAGAGAAAAAAAATCCCAAAAGGCATGTAGGCGGATACACTTGAGTAAAAAATGACAAGGTTTTCCCCGCTCAGTCAGCGCTCATAAACAGACTTAATCAAATACATATAGAGTCTGCACATTGAGTAACAATTAAATGGGCAAAATTAGGAAACATGAAAAGGCTGAAAAGACATAGCTTAGCCATCAAGTAATGTTCTGATGTAAACAGTTAAACCAGTTTGTTACCAGGCTAATCAACAGCTGAACACCCACAGAAATGCCCTAATTTGAGGAGTAGGCTATATCATCACATTTTAAAGCCCTCAAAGACTGGAATAGAATGTGCTGCTTGTTTTGTATGTTTCAGCTACAAGGCCAAAAAACACAAATACTTCAATGCTGCTGAATCACCATTCACGAACTGACAACCAATACAGAGTATTACTCATTCAAAGCCCTAGAAGAATTAATCAACCACAGATTGTTCAGTTTATGAATGGGTACCTGTATGGTGACAAAATAAAAATAGTGGCAGTAGTCAAAACATGTAGTGTTTGCTAAACTATTCAGCTGTCAGATGGTAGAATGAAGATGGACTGCATGGGGAAAAGCCAAGTGCTCAGTCGGGCCACATTCAGCTGCATGTTGGTGACCTATATGTCTCATTTAGATAAGACATACAAGAACATCCAGCCACCTGAGTGTTTGTTTCACCTGGCCAAAAAGTAAACATCACAACAAGTGTTATAGCTGTATCACTTTTAGTTGACAATGACACTGCAATGTGATGTCTCTAAATTGGACCAAAAGGCCGACAAGTCATATTGAATATTGAGTAAATTACATACTGTATAGATCTCCTTATTGATCATATTAGAATGAGTGTGATATTGATGAAGATGTAAAACCATCACACAGTAACTGTTTCCAACAGCTGTACAGCCATTATAATAGCTTTCTTCTAATCCCGTTGGACTTCATTTCAGCTCTCTCTGGTTCTCACTATATGTTTGCGTCTTGGCTGCGCATCTTCCATGCGGCCACCTTGGGTAAACAGTGCCTTCTGGGGTTGAGAGCACCACCTCTGTCGAAAACACGTCAATCACTGCAGCAGCAGGCCTGCGAGGAGCCACAGGAAGCTGGTGAGCCGCAGACTGCTCATTATCTCCATGGCTGCTGATGAGAGCCGACAGGAGCCGAACCTGCCCGAAATGCGCCAACTCGGGTGTGCGTTCGTGTGTTTACAGAGCAATACGTCCAGCTGATTAACACACGCTCATCGGTTGTTGTCAGCAGTTAAGAACGTCTTCTCTTTAGTAATCGTTTCCCCCCCCAATTATGCACAGGGTACATTGATGCCGCGTGGACCAGGATTATTTTGCCGAGGAGATCTCTAGTGCTCTCCCCTCCTCCGCTGTTGTCCTCAACAGCAGACACACGGACTCATTCAGACTGGGACTTTTGTCTGGAGCACCATTGTAAACAGGCGAGGAGCCGTTTTAATCAAATATAACATCGCTCCATCATAGGTTGAAGGTAGGTGTCTGCTCGGTCTCTTTCTCCATCTCTCGGCTCACGTTTCCATGTTGTGCGCGTTTGTTTTCGAGCAGAATGGTGCAATGCAACGTTTGCACAGCTCTTCTTCAAATTGACAAGGGCATTTCCGAAAAATTACATAACGTAGGCTTATATTTGCATGATTTCACATTTTTATGTGTTTTATTATTTGATTTCTGAGTTTTAGTGTGGAATTGTCTTGTTATATCTGAGAAATAAGAGAGAAAGAGAGTGAGAGTGGGGGGGAGAGAGAAAGAGAAAAATAAGAAGAGGAAGAAAATCAATGCATGATCTTTCCAGAGTGTGAATGCACATGGTTTAACTGAGTATCTGGTGTGTGCTGGCACATTTGTTATAGCGGAAGCAGCAGGAGGGAGTTTGCATTGTATACAATATGCGTGAGTAGGCTCGAGAGAGTGGATCCTTACATGTCATAATGCATGTCCAAAAGGAACACAGATGTGAGAAGTAACTTAAGACATGTGCAGTATGCACAATGCAAAGGCCTACTTTACTTTAATATTTCACTCTTGGATGACATTTGCGATGTAGCTAATTCACTCAGTGGATGCTGTGCCATGATTCCAGGCTGCACACTACTTTCTTGTGATTTAAACTTTTACTTGTAAAACAACAGCACATTTTTTTTTAAATGCTATGGTTGTAACTATACTCCACAGCTTTATAAAGCAATTGTATTGATTGCCACTACATTAAAATACTAGTTGAAAGGAACTATTTTTCTCAATTAATCTAATTACTGAATAAATAAAATAAATAAATGCTTCTTTGTGTTTGTTTATGACCATGCAAGGTGTGTTTATTGGAATGTTGCATATGGATGACTAATGGGATCATAATTGAAAGTGACATGTTTTTACCTATCATTACAGTCATTACTATAGCAAACAGTTTAAAGCTTTTGAAACATCAGCAACAGCATCACTTATTTAGTGTGTGTCTCTGTATTAAAATACTTGTCATTGTGGGAGTGACAGCAGGTTCACATTTTCATTAATTTGTATCTCAGATTGTATCTCACTATACCATTGGTAGTGGTAGTGGTAGTGTTGGAATTTGAATATTTTTCCCGTGGCTGCATAAATGTTCATACGTGTTTTCCATGTGTTTAGGTTATAATAATATTCTTATACAAAGCACAATATGCACTCCCGTCTATTAATAATATTCGTTTTCGGCTTTTGTTTTTGCTTTTTTCAGCCTTCAGTCAGCAATGCCTGGGAATCGTCCAACTGCTCCTCCCTGTTGATCTCTGAGAATGGGATCCTAGTAAACCTCTCTGGGATTTAGATCAACTGCTAGCATGTTGCAGCCTTCCACCAGAACAGGTGACTTCCTGTTGGAAACATTACCTCATTGGAGAAAGCGTCCGAGATGGGTCCTCTCCTTGACCCTTTGCATGGCTCTCCTCTGGCTTCCAGGGGCGACGGCATCGATCCTAAACTGCCACACGACATGCATCTGCGCCTCAAACATAGTGAGCTGCTCCAAGATGAATCTGACCTATGTCCCGAGAGGTATACCACTTTACACTGCTGTGCTGGATATTAGCTACAATGAGATAGATAGACTGCAAGCTGACTGGACCCCGGCCAAGCTCCCGAAGCTCCATAACCTCCTCCTCAGCCATAATGGTCTCAACTTCCTGTCTTCAGAGGCGTTCGTAAATGTGAAGCACCTACGTTACTTGGACCTGTCCTCAAACAACTTGGAATTGCTGGACGAGTTCATCTTTGAACCTTTGGTCAACCTGGAGGTCCTCTTGCTGTATAATAACCACATTTCCCAGATTAACCGCGCAGCCTTTATCACCGTGGTCAAACTTCAGAAGCTCTACCTTAGTCAAAACCAAATCTCCCGCTTTCCCGCGGAGCTGGTCAAGGAAAAGTCCCGCCTAGAGAACCTGAGTCTGCTGGATGTGTCCTCCAACAAAATCAAGATGCTACTCGTTGATGAACTCCAGGAACTGCCTGCCTGGATTAAAAATGGCCTCTACTTTCACAATAACCCTCTGCTGTGTCACTGTGATCTCTACACACTCCTCGCCCATTGGTATATTCGAAAGCTCAACTCTGCAGTGGATTTTAAAGATGAATACACATGTATCCTGCCTGGCCCTCAAAAAACCAAAGTGGGTGTTTTTGAACTCAGCGGTTATCACATGAACTGCAGCACATTCAAGGAGGCAGATGAAGAGGCATTTCTGGAGCAGAGGCTAATCCTTGGCTGTGACACCAAACACAAGGACATGGTAAAGACCTGGATAATGCCTGGTAATGTCGTGGTGACGCCTGGAAGCAACCAAACCGCCAAAGTCATGCAAGATGGTAAGCTGCAGATTACTTCAGTGAGGAACGAGGATTCTGGGACGTACACTTGCTTTGCGACAAGCGAGGCCTTCAATGAAACAATCTATGTGGTACTGAAGGTCCACAACTTTACAATGGACGAGATTGGGGACTCCCTGAACACAGCTTACACAACCTTAGTGGGCTGTCTGGCCAGTGTGGTTCTGGTGCTTATGTATCTTTACCTGACGCCGTGTCGCTGCTTCTGTTGCCCCAACATAGGAAAGACGCGGGGTGAGGACAGCATCCACTCGTCCATGCTCAGTGTGACACCGACCCATGAGGAACCAACGCTGAAGGCCGATTTGAACAGGCACGTGGCATTCATAGACTCCAAGGACTTGCAGGGCCAAAACGGCAAGCTAAACCCCAATGGGGATGGGGATGAGGATGAGGATGATATGGATGCAGAGGCTGGTTCTCTTATGAAGGGCAAGAGGAAGAAGTCAGTAGCAGAGTCCATCAGCTCCGTCTTCTCAGACACTCCCATGGTGGTCTGAGGTGTGACCGGCAATGACGATGGATGCCACACGACTGGGTGTATATGGTACAACATTAGCCATGTTTTAGTTAATATAAACTGTAACTGTGACCTTGGCGGAGAAAACAAAAGAAGGCTGTTCATCTGTAGTTGCTGGCACGTTGAAATAAGGATTTTTAAGGGGGTTTAAAAAAAAGAACTGTCTTGTCAACAAGTACAAGAAGCAGGACTTTTCCAGCATTTTAATCTGTAGCACTTAATATTCATACTGTGAAGGAATGGCAGTGTACATGAACATTGGAAACTACTGAAGTCTTATGAGAGTGAAATGTCGATGATGTATTGTCAATATAAGCTCTCAGGAAGTGATCCATTAAACTGCGTGTGGAAAATACATATGATTCGATGCACAGGTTGAAATTTGATTGGAAGTATACAGTGAACCCATGGCTGGCTCATAATTATTATTATTACAAAGACTAGAATAGATTGCATCTTACCTAAACATTAGAGCATAGACCTCTTTATACCACTCTTCTATTAACACAGGGACAGAGACTCAGAAAGGCCACCGTCACCAGGCTGTGATACATCTATCTTGAGTCATCTATAGAGGAACTGCATGCCATAAACCCACATTACAGCTCTCTAACTGATCTGTATAAGTAGGTAAAGAAAACGTGCATTAATTGGAAGTTTAGTCATTTGTATAAAGAAAAAGCAGTAGCAGATACATTAAATTAAGAAGGTAATTTCACTGTACTTCATAGCTGATACCTGCAATGTACTAAGATATCGTTTTTCAGACTGATCTTTATTTTTGATTTGATGTATAGTCTTATGTGTAGCGATGTAGGGGAAAGCAATTTGGATGGGGTACATTTACATAGAGGTATGGTATAAACTAGTTTGACAGCTCGAGGCAGATCAATGTTTATGAGAAAATTGTGTATCAAACTAGTTGTCCTAACAAAAAAACCCTGACATAATGAAAAACGCCTAAAGCAGACACTCATTAGATGCAGAGAATTAAGAGTTTGACCTTATCTATTGGCCAAGTTATAGCCTTTCTTTCTCTCCATTACACTGGGAGGAAGTGAAATGGGAGGAAGCTAAAATGCTTAGGTTAAATTGGTTTTTCCTTCTGAATGTAAAATGTGCACCTTACTCAAAATCCTGAATATTATAATGTACATTGCTTAAAAGATAAATTAGGAAAACACTGGGAGTATTCATATAATAAATTATGTAGTAGATTTAAATTTTGCAAACCTGCAAGATTAGAAGTGTTTTTTTTCTTGTGGTAGGTAGAAAAATCTGTATGTTGTATTAACAGGTAAAGATGCCAAATAATAAAACCTACAGGAGACTTTGAGTAATGAAGATGTTACACGAGAGAGATGAGTTTGAAGCTACTGGAAACAAACTCTTGTAAAACAGGACGCACATGATCCTTCAGAAAATAACTTCATCTGTAGAAGAGTGAATTTTCTAAGCAAGACACCTCATATGCTGTGCATATTACAATAACTAGGTTTTAAACAGGCAACAAGAAAGTGGCGTTTGTGTCGTAATACAATGCTAGCCCGGCGTAAAAGCTAATTGCATCGTTTGATGTGATGCGGCTTCCCTCTGCTACCCGTGTCTTTGTCTCTGTGAGCAGGAGGGGATAGGTGTGTTATCATGAGTCACAGCAACACAAAGCCATTCTCTGTGGCTCCCTGTTCACTGACAGCCTCCATTCAGCTCAGAATGTGTTAGCTTTCTTTGTGTACCTCTGTCATTACAAGGCTGCCCTCGCTGAAGTTCAAAAGCAGTCATTCAAACAGGCAATGAATGGGATGCCCTTTAAGTAGTCTCTAATTTGGTTATGAGGGAAACGCCTGGAGCTTTCATTAAACATGTTCTCCACCACTGAGTCATATGATTGGAAAATATCATATTAGAACATGGAAATAGTAATTTTTGAAATCATTTCTTAGTGCGTTTTAGTTTTCCACTTTAACACCACAGCACAAATAATAACAGATTGGTATGTAAATTCACATACATATTGCAAATAGAGGTCAAAATAGCTATCAAATGGTAAAATGTCTTGAGCGTAATAGGTTTTTACGCAAAATTAATGTTATATTCACGGCTGCAGTGTGCAACTCAGCATCTTCCGTGAGTGGGTGAGAAAAGGAAGTCACACTTATCAGAGAGGTGGTGCGTGAATCATGCCACTCTCGCACACCAGGTGGAAACATATCAAATATACCATCAGACGCATTAAAAGGAAGCCACATTTAGCCTTTCTGCTGGCTGGCTGAAGTTGGCAAATAACCTTGCTCGCTTTTAAGGATCGAACACCGGAGTATTGCCCTCTATATTCAATTGTTCTGTTCCCTTCTTTCTCATCATGGGGCCAATATAATACATCTAGGAATTAAATCCCTGGCCACTCAAGGCAGCATGAGGATCTACTAAATGTCACAGAATCTAAAATGATACAGAGATGGCTGTTGAATAGCCCACATTGAACTGGCAGACCATTTCATAAACAAATGTTTGCCCAGAAAAAAAAGGCAACTCTAGTTAAATCTGTTGTAGCCAATGTCACTCAGAGTACTAGTCGCGTTTGTGTACACAGAAAAACTAAGTGCTATTGGTAAGGTCTTAGAGGAATAGAGTGGCTTTGTTCTCTCCAAAGCTAATCTGCCTTCCTATAGATATCTATATATATATGTATTAAGACTCATTTTTCTGTGTTCAGTATTGATTAGTTGTGTACTGCTATGTTCTACCAGTGTACTGACTGTATTCTTGTACATTCTGATGTTGTTGATCATTTTGTATTTCGTCCCCCGCCGTGCTGCTGTTAATTGTTTCAACATTCAAGTCTGGATCATAAGTGTTTATTTTATAAGCGGGGTGGGTTTTAATTTTTTTGAATGACATAGGATGTATTTTACACTTAACTCTGCTTAACAATATAGTTAAACAGAAAATATATATTGAACATGTATCAAAAACTATAGGAGGAGTGCCAGTTTTGAATTTGTTGATACATTTGAATGGGCAGTGAGTGTGTAGCCGCCAGTTATTTTCAGTCAGCATCATAGAGCCATGAGGAATTCAAAGAGAAAGCAGTGCTTTAGCTTGGTGGCTGTGTCAGGTGATGTAAAGAGTTGTAGGGTTAGTTCTCAACGGGGTACTTTCCAACAATTACAGCAACAGCTTTTCTGTCTTTAAGAAGAGGCAAAACATATTTTTTATAAAAGCCACCAATGTAGAAGCAAATAAAGAAATCCATTCAAATACACCAATCTTCAAAAACAATGGGTTTGGAATGGGTATGAAGACAAAGGGTGAATAAATCTTCTCAGGACCGTTTCTGTGTTAAGTTCTAATGTAATATGATGCATGAATGTTTTCACATTTGCAGCATCAATAGAACAACATCTTGAGAGTTGTACAGTTCACAGGCCCTTTGCTTTTTGCAGTAATGGCACATTAACTGTTCCCTTTTTGATCACTTATCATACATTAGAGAATTAGAGAAAGGAGTGGTCTCTGCCCTTAAAACATCTATCTCTGTTCATCTGACTGTAGCAGCAATTACAGAAACATTATTGAGGTCGTGGGGGTAAATCGTGTTCTGCCTTAAAAGTGGGCAACTACAACAGTCCACAGGAAATGGATGGAGCTTTTAACAGCATTAAAAGCATTGAGTTTATTGACCACTGCTTCAAAGGTGAGCTGGTGGGTCACTGCCATAATATCGGAAAGGTATCACAGCTAAAGTGGAACGGCTTTGCATGGTTTGCAACCTAGTAGGCATTAAAGATAAAGAATACTGATCATTTGACCTAATAAAAAGATCTACACTTTTTGTGGAGTCCATTTTTATTGCTTTTCAAGAAATGTTCCTTTAATTAATTGCTTTTAAAACTTTGTGAAGTTTGAGGGTAAAGCTGTGACATTTTGCCCAAATTACTATGCCATAGGTGGAGTGGCTAGATATTGCTAGATACATAAATGAAGTGCGCATAAACTCCGTGCAAGTAATAACCGTTTATCATGAACAAATTGTTTGTTTTAAATTACTTGTCACATGACCACAATATGAAAGACCAAGTAGGTTTATGAACAATGTTTGCTGTTTTAATTTGGCAAACAAGGCTAAAGTTTCATCATGATGCTTTTTCTGGGGAGCAAAATGTATGGCCTAACACCATCTAGTGGTAAAAGTAGGAAGTGCACTACAAGACAAAAGCTTTTAGCCTTTGTTTTATGACAGTGTGTATATAATTGGTAATGCAATTTAAAATGTCAATACAACTATATTTGACGTAGATTAACTTAAAAGCATTAAACATACTGATAAAAAAATACATTTTCAAATTGTAATATAAATAGTTAAATGGGAATAACCTGAATGTATGACAGATGCGGCACAACAGCACAACTCAAGGTAAGACACATTGCGTCTCCGACTGTTATTAACGATTTTTCAGTCTACACCATTTTCATCTGGGATATGAACAAGTATTTCACAAGCATTACAGCAGTTCATATATAAGCTACATATACCGTATATATAAATGAATAGGTAGCACCACATTACATAACAAGTTATTATTATAGTGTTGTGATTAGATGATTAAACACGCCTCTATTTACAACTGTGGTAATGCTTGCCTTTGCACCAAAACGTCATAAATAAGAAAGTTATTTCCCTTTTATAAGATGTTCAAGTTCAAAAGTGTCAATGTGGAGAAAACGGTTCAACTTTTTTAAGGATTTTCTATACCCAGATGCCACAATCTGAAGTTAGAAAAAATTAAATATCAACAGAGCAATTGGGATAATGAGAGAGAAACTTTCAAATGCCCCTGTCAATTTTCATAATTTCAGTAAAAGAGTTACCATGAGTAAACTACACTCACCAACATTCAGTTTACCACCTTTAATGTGCCGATAGCCAGGGGTTAAGTTGGGATTTGATATGTGGGGGGGCTCTGTGTGGAGGTGCGAGAGGGGGGCGGAGGTCGAGGATCTCATTATTTGACCTTAAGGGATATACACTGTGGCCCTAAAGCAACTGCTCCATTATCTGTATCAAATGCACACATTGATGCCACCAAATGTCACAGTCAAAATAGAAAGTACTACAAATAAACTGGAATTCATTTACATCTTAAATTATTAATATATATACACAAAAAAAGGTTTACAAATATCCAACCTTCAAATTGCTTTTTTAAATCAACACTGCTCTGCACACTTGCTAAAGAACATTTGTGTGGAAATCTCAATTCATTTGTAGGGCTGCGTGAGTATGGCCAAAAGTATGGGAGTAAATCTCACTGTAAACTATTTAATCATCACCAAATTCTGTGTTATTATGACCGATCATAACTCAGCTTTATGCAGACATACATTTAGCATGGTGTACAGGGCCGGTTTTTGACATAGGCGACATAGGCAGTCGCCTAGGGCGGCAGATCGCTGCGCTGGCAGCTCTGGGAGGGAAAAAAACATTTTTGACTGTTTGCGCTCATCCTAATTTTCGGCCTTGATGTAAAAACATTCATAATTAAGTCAAGGTAACACCCTTTTCACCCCGGTTACACTTTTCATTTGCCCCGTACGATGGGCGCTGTAAGTGATGAAAGTGCAGGGGTGTTGGCTTATCAGGCGCCCGCAGCTCACAGCTAAAGTGGGCATTGGAGCGAGCGAGAGAGATAAATGCAATTTATGTTAACACATATTTCCAAGGCACTCCTTTATAATTATTGGGATGAACAGGTTTGAAATCATTTCAATGTATACTATAGGACAGTAAACCAAAAATATCGTTTAAAACCTGAGAGATACAAAAATATGCATAAATAAATGTTAACTAGGTAAAATAAGATATGAATGAACACCAAAAATAAAATAAGTTACATTGATTTGTTATTGGCTATGGTATGTTATTGGTTATGTTCACACACCGCTGCAGACTCTCTGCACGAAGGAGCCGCAGTGCTGCAGCTCCTGATCGGAGCAGAGACACACGTTCACTCAGCGGAAAAACGATATCCTGTCACAGAGATCTGCTAATTTAAAGTAAAGTCAACACATATCGACCCTAAATAAAGTCTATATTAACAACGAGAGATGTTTTAACATATGGCTTAAACAAATGACAAATAAGCGAGGGTGATGACGTCAGAGCATCGTCCTATGTGCCGGGGCTGAGCCCCGGACAGCCCCGGCCCAATTTAACCCCTGCCGTTAGCACAGATCCAAAGTTAAATGACAGGAGATGCAGAGCCATAAAGGATTCAAGAATGTTTTATTGTTTTGCCATGAGATGACTTTTAACTTTAGCAGCATGAGTAAATTGAGGTATTTATACATTCTTACACAGTAACAAACTGAGACATTTAGTCACATAGAAAAATAGACATTTAGCAAAAATACACAACATGCAGACCAATATTTATTCCTGATATCTGTGCGTAAAAATGTAAAGACATAAATATACACAAAACCACGCATGTACGCAGTCATGCGTGCACACAAACACACCTGCAGCAGGCCTCTCCTCAATGGCCTCTTTTTTGGCTGAGAAGATAAAAGATAAATTGTCACCTTCAAATGTGTTCACAGTTGTTCGAACCAGACACCCTACAATCAGGTTCAGATCAAGAACATCTTCTGTGATAGTTGTGTAATTTTAGGCTTAAAGTGATGGATCCACATCATAAAAAACATTGGTGTATGCGACCTACAGTATGTTGTGTCATAGCTGGCTTGTTTACTCACTCTTTGGGAGTTGGATCTGTTCTCCAAACCCCCACACGCAGATCCCTGATATGCTTTCCATTCTGTCTGCTCTAGCGGGAAGGGGAGGACAAGCGTTGACACTTGGAGGTTCTGGACAGTGAGGAGCTGAGAGACGTTGACTCATCGCTGCCTTTGCGCTTTTCAGCAAGACCCCTGTTGTTGCAGCCCGCCCCCTGCTGCTGAATCCCTGGAGCCCTCGCTTTGCTGCGGGGGGAGCGTTGGAGCGGAGGGCATGGCTTATTCACGTTTGAAAAGGTATCATTAACTGCTCCTTGAGAGGGGGGGACATGTGGCTGGCCCTTCTCATTGAGGGGGGGGTCCCTGATGCATTTGGAGGATTTGCCCTCACCGCCGTTTGACAGCATGGCAGCTTTCTGTAGTGCGCTCGCATCTTGCATAAGCTCCTCCTCCCGCAGCCGGGCTTTGCCGGCAGGGTTGCGCCGTCGGCCAGGCCCAAGTGTCGCCGTTGCAGGGGAAGAAGGCGATTTGAAACTGGGAGAATTGTGCAGACTGGGTTTGGTTTCCAGTTGACCCAGTGAGGTATAATCGAGGCTGAGGGAGCCAGTGGATTTGGAGGATCGGGCCTCAGTCCTGACAGCTGATCCTACAGCTGGAGATGAGACCTGACATGACCTGAGACCTGATGAGACTTGAGGCATTTTCCTGTAGGTTCAAAGGAAAAATTAAGCTCATAGGGATGTCTTTTTTCTAAAAACATAATTAAAAGCATAAAGCAAAACCTCCAGGCAGAAGATCCAAGACAGCCTTAATTGGCAGTCAGGTCAGCTATTAGTAAGATTGGGCTCCAAAAGGCACATAATAAGGCAGCTAGAGATGTGCATGTTACCCCCCCAGGTGGCCTACCTGCTGTGTAAAGTGCAATTCATATTTTTTTCTATGTAGATTTGATGTTTAAACAATATTGTTTGTGCTGTATAGGGCTAATCGTGGGTTTGTACATGTGTTAGGACTCCTGTAAGAGTAGCCCAGTTCGGCTAAAAGAGAACATAATAAATTAACCTAAATCAAATCAAGATATTCTCACTTACCCTGATGTGGTTCTGGTGGATCAATTGCAGCCTCATTTTGTTATGAGACCGAATATCCATTGGCTGATCCTTAAATATGTAAGATAAAATCCTTCGATTGTTTCTGCACTGCCTGCTTGAGTTCTGAAATCTGAATCCATCAATACTCTTGAAGCAGGCTAATACCCTAACTTTTGACCACGGTGCGTCTATTGATAGGTACAGTGTTGAAAGGGGGAGCCAGAGTGGAGTACCCACGTTATTCATAAGAGTATATTAATGTTGTTAAACAAACCATCCTTTTTTGTAAAGGATATTTTTGCTCAGTATTAGATCAACACCTGTCCTTTTCTCATTACATAATTAAAAACTATTTAAATGGCAATGCACTATGCTCTTTAAATACTATGTCCTCTATTGGGGTAAACTTTGAGGAACTATTTTCTTCATCCAAACAGGTGAAATATCTATAAGGTAAAGTAGTGACACTCACTTCCACAAATGTGTGCTGACATGGTGCTCCAACATGGCACTGAGGGCGAACCGCACGTGATGTAAACGCCGGTTGAAGGTGAAGATGCTGCAGCCCAATGTGCGGCATCCAAAAGTGCATAGCTGGAGACGAGAAACCATTTTACAAATACAAACAAACTCATGTCCTTTTCAGAGGTGTAAACAGTGAGATTCACAAATCAATGAACAAATATTTGTATATACATTTGTTTTTATATTCGGGATTGTGGGAAACAGTATTTCGATCTCTCTGTCTGTACACACAAACTGGAAGATTGACAATAAAGTTGACTTTGAAATTGAAAAAAGAGAAAGAAAAATTGAAAAATAAAAAATAAAAATAAATGCTCAGTGTTTTTCACTATCCAGGATTATCGAAACTGCTAAAAATGTCTCTTCCCCCCAAAAAACCTAGATACTTTTGCACTGCACTGCTACTTCTGCACTCACCCCGAGAGGTTTGGGGTGCAAGGGTGTGGCAGGCGGGTCTGTGTCTTCATCCTTCTCATCGTCTTCACTCTCCTCGGCCGACACCTGGCTCTGGTTGAAGGCACGTTGAGGCGGGGCCTCCACTTCCACAGCGCTGTCACATTCCTCCTCTGGAACATTTTCTGATGGGTCCTCAGACCTGCTTTGAAAGCAAGAAAAACAAACAAATGAGAACAATTAATTCCACACAATCAGGCAACACAAAAATACTCAACATGGTACCGTTTGGATGATTAAACATTACCATACACAAAATTTATTTTTGAAATTGTTTGTTTTGTATGCTTGTCATTTTGCTACTTTTACTGTGTTCTGTCAACTAATAATGAAACATGTTAAAAACAAAAAAATAAAAACAGGTTTAAGTAGATCGTAGTGCCCTTGTCCATCTCAGACAACATTTGAGAGAATTAAAACATCTTCTGCAGTGATAATTGATGTACTTTGTTAAATAAAATTAACTTGGTAATTTTATAATATATACTATACCTGGGAATGTGAAGGTTGCTGTTAAATGTTGTACTGGTCTGAATTGTTTTTGTATCTTCAAAAGCTTCCAGATGTTGCTCTTTGTCTTTTGAATTAACAAGAAGCTGATCCAGAGCATGACCTATAGAGGCTGGTTTCTGCTCCTCTGCCAACTGGGCAAGTGTCTTACTCCTTCCCAATGCTTTCTGCTGCTGGTGGATGGAATCAGTCTGTGTGGAGAGAACAGCGCCGAAAGACAGGCATTACAAAGAAAAGTATATTTCTATGAATAACGAACACCAATGAAGATACTGGTATCAATATTGGACAAAGCACTGAGCGTTTACATTGCATATAAGCTCCCGGCTGCACAGCTTCTTCCTCTCTGGGTCCAGAACTCTGCTCTGTTTGTCCAGATCACATTCTTTCTCTATGGGAAATAAAGATAACACAGAAGTCAGTGAGCAACAGCCACAGACAGTCAGCATGATCTAAATGGTAAATGGTAGAAATCAGCAGCAGGATACACACCAGATGTATAAACTTACTGCTGATGTTTTTGTAAATCTGGCTGTAGGTTCTTGTTCCCCGCTGAGGACTGAGGGCCTCACTGGACTGCCCAGCTGTGGTCTTCTGCGGCGAGGGTCTCTCTGAGGGAGAAGTGGAGGAGGAACAGTGGCCAGGGGGCAGAGGTCCTAAGTGCCAAGCAGGAACCATGGGGCGAGGCGTGGATGAGGGGGAGGAGTGAGGAAGGGGGACGTTCTCCTGGGGGAACTTCTCCACTGAAGGAAAACTGCAGGGGTAGAGTGAGAAGACAACTTAAAAATTAGCTCATGAGATGTATGCAATTCAGGATTAAAATGTAGATACAGCAGGAGACCAAATTCAAGGCAATAAAACTGAAAAAACCAACAACAACAAAAAAACACATAAACTTAAACCAAGCAGTGTTAACTTCACACAAGTACTCAACACTGATAACTGTCAATTGTGTATTTAACCTTTGTTAATATAACTTAAATACATATTGAAACAAGGTAAGATCATCAAATCAATATTGCACATATAAACGTGTTTTAAAAAAATGATATATTCTAATGTAACATCACCAACATTTTGATTGGGAAGTGAAACTTAATTATATGTTTCTCAGTGGTCTGTCATTGATTATGATTTAATTTGTTGGTGATTTCATGACGTAACACTGTTCCATGTTTCTCCCCAACACTGGAAGTAAACAATCCTAAAAGGTACCTCACTGCCTCCTTCTGGGCCGTGCTAGGCATGTGCTGGTGTGCAGGTGGTGCTGCTGAGGAGGGGGGGATGGCTTCATGACATCTGCCATCTTTCTGCCTCTCTCTGGAGCAGGAATTATTTGTGGAGGGACGAACAGAGCGGGGTCTCGGCTGTGGTGCCGGAGACTGTCCACACACTTTAGTGAGAGGACCATGCCGCCTCTCACAGTGCTTCTCAAAGGCCTGAGGTTTCACCACCTGGCCACAGTGACTGCACACCACCAGGTACATCTCATCATGTGACGGGCAGTGGCCAAATGTGTGCATGTCTATGGAGGAGAAAGCTAAATAGAATTAGAGGGAAACATCTAAGCGTGAGGGTTTCAATAAAAGGGATTGAGTCTCACCTTCTCTCCTGAGGGCCATGGTCTCACAGCGGTTCCTCCCATTCTTGCTGCTGTCTTCAACATTAGACCCAGCTGTATTAAAAGCAAAAACATTCAGCATGACATTTTGGGATGGGGCATAGCTGTAGCATCTTCTAAGAAGCAGGTTTATTGATATCCGGATAGCTTTGCTGAGTAAAATCCGGAACAAGTCGTTCACATCAGTACGTGCTTCAGATTTGGTGTTTCGCGGTATTTTACTCGTCATTTTTAAAGTTTTCTAAATAAAATGTGAGTCTTTAAAACTCTCTTTCGATACACCCACTGCCAACATCCTCTTGTTATGTGGTCGAGTCGCAAAAATGTTGCTATTAGCAAACTGGATACATTCTATTTAGAAACGTCATTGTTGTTGTTTGGTGTGACAGTAGCTGGCAGGCTAACGCTAACGGTGACATCACCTGTCCACAGGATAGAAGCTTGCATTGTATTAACCAGCTAGTGTTTTATGAATACATTACAAAATGCCTTAGAAACAATGATTTCAATTAGTTTTGTTTGCTTGTTGCCCGTTAACATTCCTAGCAAACTCCCCCTGCACTAGGACCTAGCGGGTCTTTTGTTTGGGTCGCGCTTTATGCCGCCCTATGTGTATGTGGTAACAACAAATAAATCAGAGGACTTGGGCACTGAGACATGATGGAGACCAGGTCAGGGACAGGGGATGCGACTCACCGTCAGATGGCAAAATATTCGCTTTAACTACCCAACAACTCCAGTTTAATCCGACAAAATCGTCGAGATTAGGATTTCGCCGATCCAAAGCGGCCATTGCTGCTCTTGCGCGTTCACGAGGTGATACTGTCAGTTCACGCGCAGCACATCCGCGTCACAAAGCTCGTCCCCGCTTTCTCAGTAGTAATATATGCAAACATGGATAACAAAGGAGTGTTTGGAATTTGAAACCATATGTTGCAAAAGGTCCACATCTGTGTTGCTTTGTCACTTCCATAAAAGGTATTAATTATAAGGTGTTTTAAATGACAAGTTCGTGTAAAAGTATCATTGTTAAAGTGTTTTTTAATATCAAAGTGTAACATTATTTTATACACAATTTAGGATGAAATTGATACTTTAGGATCATTAGGGTATAGTACATTATTTTAGAATGTTTTCCACATATACTTCAGTTTTCAGGACTATATTCAATGCATGATTTAATAATGATAAACTGACAGTTTAATCAAATGTTTCTTTCTTTCTTGATCATAAACAAATACCACTACTAAACCACTACACTGTTTCCAATTCTGTAAATGACCTTATTCCTTTACCTCACTATAGCCTCTAATTGTATAGATTGGATGGCAAATATTAATATTGGTGGTAATCTTATTTAGAAAAAAAAGTATTCCAACCAAAATAGGAGCACTTAGTTGTGTTAAGGCAAGGTTGACTGAATAATTCGCATACATGTATCAGGCCCTGATGTTTTCACATCTGCCTGAGAAAATGATCACTTGACTGGACTGATGGGTCAGGGGGTTCATTTGAAGTGAACTCCGTGGAGTGACACTCGCAGCTCAACGAGGCTCCCTCCTGTCAGATGGAGGGAGTAATTACAGCGGCAAGCTCCCCCTCTTCCCCTCTCTCCGGCAGAAACAGGAAATGCCGTAACTGTATGTAACAACGGTTTCAAATCAGCATCTTTTAGACAAAAAAATTAAATTAATAATTAAAATAAAACTCCAAACATCTTTAATTGTGTTACTTTTTTGTAAAGCTCTTTTAGTTTTAAACCTGATTTTGGATGTTTGCTGGAACTACTTGGACGGACACACACAGCGTGGAGACCGGTCAGGTAGAGACCGGTCTCCAGTCAGCACCGATGCAGACTCGCTGTTTGAGGGCTTGATAGCCCACTCCACACCGCCCCACACTCGTTGCTTTGGAACAGCACTTAATGTGGCGGACCCTCCGCGCGAACGGAGGGGTAATGGGTGTAGGGCTTGGTTTGGGATTGGGCCTTCGTTTTGTGTGTGAGGATGTTTCTGGTGTCAGCTGATGATGATAGAAGCATCATGTCTGCCACCTAGTGAATATCAAACTGTATTGCATGCTTCCTAGCTTTGTTTGCTGAATGCATTATTAGTGAAAATATGAAGAAGGATGAGAGAAGAAAGTGAGGCATTTCTAGTTACAGTCCTGAGTTGTGAATCTTAGGCTCATTGCAGAATAGGAAAAATATATTATTTACCTGACTGATTCCCAAACATTATGTGATCTGTGTGTGTGTGCTTTCACCGGTGCAACCACCAGACGCAAAATCAGACACGTTACAACAAGTGCAGTTCTTGTTTTAATGATGCACGGCATTTCATGTCCACACAGTATTTTCCTGGAGTAACAAATCTCCAGTCTCATCTAGCCTTTATCAAAGTAGGAAATAAAAAAGAAAGCTCATCTTATAACAAAGTGGAGGTAGAAAGCAAAAGCAATACAAACTGTTAATTAGTAACTTATTATTAAATTGCTTCTAACCGCCAGTTAAGGCAGTACACTTTATAGTACATTGGCCTTAAAATAAGTTAGGACCTTGCTGGGGTAATTAAGAAAAATGAAACATCATAAACATCAAGGCAGAAGATTGGAAATTATTTGTAGTAAAGGCAGTTTTAAATTGAAAGTCAGAGTGAAGGTTGCAACGGATAAATCCTCTACAGCTAACATGTTATTCTAAAATACACTTTATCCTTATATAGTGCAGTGATGAAGTGCATGCAACACAACACAAACTATTTGCTTTCACCTATTATAAATAATCTCATAAAGGCAACTGGATTATAAGGAATGGAGTAAAACTAGATTTTGGCCAGACTTGTTATAATAATTATTTCACTTCAAGTATTTCATATTTATAGCTATTTTGAAATGCAAACACTCAACAGCCCTGAGTTTCTTTTGTAAAAAATGCTGATGGCAGACATGATTTATGGATTGAAGTTTGGCAAAGTGATGCTACATTATGATTATCACAAGGCTGCACAGTTTACATCTTCAGCTCCATTTAAGATAAGGGGCCCTTTGATGTGGATACCTGGGTATATATATATATATATATATATATATATATACTAAAACATGAAATCTGAGAATCAATGAGAATAACGTTTTTGACTTTTACAATTTGCTGTATTTGTTAAGCTTTGGACAACTCAAGTTAACGTTTTTTTTAATGTTTTTTGTAAAATAAAGCCTTTAATATGAAATTAATAGCAGTTAGGTTTGGAAATACTGTGTAATCTACACAGTATGGTTCTTAACAATTAGTATCAGTAAATGAGTTATTCAATAAAACTACATTTTGAAATGAGTAAACTGTGCAGTTACGATGGGCCGACTCCCCCCTCCACATCAGCAGGCTGGTTGGCTGATTTGTGGAAAGGGGTTTCCTTGAAAATGAACCAGCAGCTGCCACACCACAGGATTAGGTTAAGAAAACCAAAGATCTGCCAAAGAATAAGACATAAGTCAAATATCCTACACTGTGGCACACAAGTTTATGTATTTCTGGAAAACGACTTTGAGTACAACTTACCACAGAGGCGTTTAGTCGGCCCATGTGAGGGGTAGCGCCTGGGGTACACTTTGCAGCATCTTTGCAAACATCAGGAACGCTCACAATGTGTGTAGGACTGGTGGCCCACTTCACATCAGACAAGCCTTTAGCCCAAGCAGAAGATGAGGCCAACCACAAAAAGGCAAAGGCTGCAGTCACCAACAGGTCCTTAGAGAAGAAGAGTGATGAGTCAAAACTATTTAACCGACACAGTGGTAGCTGCACTAAAGCAGCTTTCATGGTTCAAGTACCTAGTGCTGCTGTGTGTTTCTTGTTGCTTGGGAATGACACCCTTCCCTGTTTCATTTACACCACCCTGTTAAATGTACCTTCTCTGACCTCTAGATTCCAGGATAAGGAGGACTCAGTGAAATCCAGCAGCTAAAGTCTGATGCAACGTGTTTACACAAAAAGCAATATAAAATTCTCAATTGCCTGCCTGGATAAGATTACATTAATTTCTGTAAAAATACATTTCTGTGGTGTCACTAGATTCAAGATTCAAAGGTTTTAATGTCACATAAGCTAAAGTGTAGAAATGGAAATTAAAATCTTATGACCCGAGCTCCTCTAACAATGCAACATAGTTATATAATAAAATACAAAATAAAATTAAAAAACAGTGCAAGAAGTCTATGCACATGTATTTAGAATATGATATACAAGAACAGAATGTAAAATTAAATATTGTACAGTAAGATGAAGTTAAATAATGGTTGTTACTACTACATGTATACAGCAGCTCAAATAAAACACATGCAACACTTTCTTGCTGCACGTGGAGAGGAGGACCTAGCTGGGCACAAGCATTTCACCAAAAACAACAGTTAAAAAGGAGAGTGCAGAAAAACATACCACAGTGGGGCCACGACTAGATTCTCTATACACATGCTGGAAGCCCAAGTAGAGAACGAGTGTGGCTGTGGTGTAGAGAAATGCCAACACTCCAATGCAGACATAAAACTGTGCAGAGGAGGTGTGGTCTCCTGTCAGGAAGTACTGAGTGGTGGCGGTTTGGTTGCAGACAGGGACATTATACGGATGCTGCATCAACCTGTGTAAACACATACATGTATTGTTAATTATGACACTCCTAAGATTAAACACTCATTACATTAAGCTGGTTGCTCACTTTGAAGGAGTGTTAGAATGGTTGGTTCACACACACCTGAATGGGTAGTTAAAGTCTGCCAGTATTTCTAGACTGGCACTCCCTTTGCATTGGACGTTGATGCTGGATGAGCCGCTGTACCCTCCAGTCGTAGCAAAGGCAAATATGGCAAACACCTGCAGCCGTAGACACAAGATAGGGAGGGACACGTTGTCATACTAGTACTGATCACACAGTCACACACACTTCCTTTTTTTATTGTGCAACACACTTTTGACAGGAAATCGTCTTAAATCAGTGGATGCCATCATTACAAAATGTTGTGCAGAGTTCACAAAAAACATGTCCTTCAATGTAATACCGATAGACTATAGACCTACTAATTTGTAGCGTCAGTGATGTACAGTAACTAAGTGTATTTACTCAAGTACTGTACTCAAGTACAATTTTGAGGTACTTCTACTTTACTTGAGTATTTTAATTTGTTGCTACTTTGTACTCCACTGTATTTATTTAATACTTTTAGTTACTTTGCAGATTTGGATCACTGAAAGACGTTTAGTTGAACCTGCAGTAAAATTCACAAGATACCCTGTAGCATACAAAGTAGTTCAAACTAGCTGCACCTTTACCAGCACATTAATGCTCCATAATGTAATCAAAACATATGATATATTATTCTGAAATGGGCCGATCTGCATAATGAGCACTTTCCTATTTTGATTGCAGGACTTTTACTTGAAACAGAGTATTCCTACACTCTGGTACTTTTATTTAAGTACAAGTACAAGTACTTTTTCCACCCCTGGCTTGCCCAATGTAGGCCTACCATTATTTGATTAGAGACGTCATCAACTTTAGCAGTTACAACATAAAGTACATTGATTTCCACATTATAATATCATTAGCTACATGTGCTACATTAAACATGCGTACACATTAGCTGCCAGTGTGCCACATAGCTTGTGGGTTACAGATGGTGTTGAGTTGACTGATAGACACCGCCTAATCTAGCTTACATATCATATTTGAAACGGTGTTACAACTCAAATCGTGGCTGTCATAGCTTCGCAAGGCGTGCAGGTCACAAGACAAAAAGCATAACCAATTGCTGCCTGCGATCAGG